TCCCTAGCTCACTTGTAGACGTGATTAAAGGTGGTGTAAGCAGTGAGTCTCTCACTCAGACTGTTTCTTTTCCCTCAAGGTCTGTTTTCTCCATCAGTGGGCAGTTCTTAGGAGCACTGTTACTGAGAGCTGGTGGCAGGTTTTAACATCACTTGGCTCAACTCTGCTTCTGTGAACCGTTGGGGATGGAACGAGGAGGAAAGATAGCTGAGCTGTTGAGAGATCAAGGAATAGTAGACTGATGGGGAAAAGCCCTAGAGGAGTGAACTTAAGGAAAAAGAATGGGTGGGGTGACATAACCCCTTATATCATCTAGTGTTAAATGTATAAATCACTTCAATATATTTGACATGTATTTTTGTATCACAAATTTCTTATCTAGTTACTGTGACCAACTGAAGATCTCTGAGAGCACCCGTGTGTTGCAGCCGTTCCTTCCTAGCATTCTTGATGGACTGATCCACTTGGCAACTCAGTTCAGTTCAGAGGTCCTAAACCTTGTGATGGAGACACTGTGCATTGTCTGCACGGTAGACCCAGCATTTACAGCAAGTGTGGAGAACAAAATCTGCCCCTTCACGATTGCAATATTTTTGAAGTACAGTAATGGTACGCATTCAAGTTATGTTTTCCAAAGTACAGTTGTTAGTGCTACTGAATCTAGTGCCAAAAATTTAATAAACATTAACTGAATGAACATTCATTCAACAGTAAAGCTGGTAGGGAAACTTGCCTCTTTGCTTGTTCGAAATAGCGGTCGCAAAAAATCGAGATGTGTGTGTTAGTATGTTTTAGTAAATGGTGCTTTCTCTCTCCAGATCCAGTTGTTGCTTCTCTTGCCCAAGATATCTTTAAGGAACTAGCTCAGATAGAAGCCTGCCAGGGTCCAATGCAGATGAGGCTAATACCAACTCTTGTCAGCATCATGCAGGCCCCTGCTGACAAGATCCCAGCAGGGCTTTGTGCAGTAAGTGCTACAGTGATACATGGTCTTAGCTGGAGATGATTCCCTCTTATTTAATGTGTAGGATGGCTGCTCTGCAGAGAGTAGAAAGGTTGCTTTTAAACTGCTTTGGAACAATGACTTTGATTGGTAGAGATTTCTTTGTGGAGAGAAGGCAAACTGCAGGTGGGTGGAGCTGCTTCCAAAAGTTAACTGAAAACTGTTCCTCTGGCCTTCTTCCAGTCTCTGCAGCATATCTATAGTCATTTGGCTTTGACATAGCCATCTTTCACCAATAACAGTCTCCTTTTTGGCAGAATGTTCTCCAGCAGGGTACATGACTATTCCTTGCACTTTTTTCGAAGGCTTTTTCTGATTTTTGTGTCACGTATATATGGCTGGAGATAAATTATACAGGTTTGTCCTTCCTATAAGTAAGTCAGCTTATAAAAGATTAAGCATTGACTATGTAGAATGTGGAACTGTATGGAATTAAACCTATAAACATTTTTGGCAATATGCTTACAATCTGCATATTGATAGGGATGACTAACAATTGCTTACGGTAATTCAAATCAATTTAAATCAGTATAAACAAAATGGAATGAGTCAGCTAGAGCAGTTCTCTGGCGGTGCTGATTAACATGTCAGGGTACTGAGAAACTCTTTGCCCTGTTTAAGTGGTTACACTGCTTTAATGTTTGAACTTCTTTGGGAACTTTCACAGTCCACACCACGTCATTGTCAAATACAGTAATGCTATGGGTGCACAGCTCTGAGGTCCTCCAATTTAAAAAATATTCTAGACTGTAAAATCAGGATGTGATTGCAGTACTGACTCACATCCCTCTAGTTTACGCCTTTGATGGTTGCACCAGTGGTGGGTAATGCTGACAGTGTACTATGGCTGCTGCTGTAACAATGCTTTTGTTTGTGTTTTCCTTTCAGACTTCTATTGATATATTGACCACAGTTGTGAGGAATACAAAACCTCCTCTGTCCCAGCTCCTGATCTGCCAAGCATTCCCTGCAGTGGCTCAGTGCAGCTTAAACACAGATGACAATGCTACTATGCAGGTAACAGTGTGGGCAGTGGTAAGGATTGCAGGGCTATTCCCCAAGAGAGGTGACCAAGACAGACAGGTCACATAGCCTTTAAGGGAGCCCAGGCTTTGCTTGCCAGTAGAATCAGAACGGTTTGAGTTGAAAGGGCCCTTAAAGGTCATCTAGTTCCAACCCCCTTGCCATGGGCAGGGACACCTTCCACTAGACCAGGTTGTTCCAAGCCTCTTCCAGCCTGGCCTTGGATACTTCCAGGGATGGGGCATCCGCAGCTTCTCTAGGAACCTGTCCCAGTGCCTCCCCACCCACTCTGGGAAGAATTCCTTCCTGATATCTAATCTAAACCTCCCCACTTTCAATTTAAACCCGTTACCCCTTGTCCTGTCACTCCCTGCTCTTGTAAGAAGTCCCCCCAGCTTTCTTGTAGCCCCTTCAGGTACTGGAAGGTGCTATAAGGTCTCTGTGGAGCCTTCTCTGCTCCAGGCTGGACAAGCCCAATAGCTATATTCTCTGCTCCAGGCTGGACAAGCCCAATAGCTATATTGGCAGCTCCTCTGGAGTCTCTGCAACCTCCAGTTTATCACTGCTGTTCAAAGGCCTGCAGTGACTTCTGCTGTTCCTTCCTTAATCTGGAGGACTGGAGTGAGTAAAGCAGCAGCCTTGATATTTTTTTTCTATTTTAGGATTCTGGAGCATGTATGGAAAAAAAACCCACAAAACCCCAAACCAAAAAGTCCCCAAACCCTTTTTTTCCCCAGTAGTAATACCTTCCATCACACCTAGGAATCGCAGAGGCTGTCTTCAGAAACACCCTCAGGCATAGGGAAGCGAAAGACCTCCTTCGTAGACAACCTCCTACCTTCTTCTACCAGTTTTCTCCTGTACTCCTTTGCGTGGGAAGGAGGGACAGACTTTTTGACTGAGCCAGGTGTTGGATGGAGGGAGAGCACGGGTTCATCTCAAACAGCAATAGTGCCTGAGCTGTGCCTGCTGGCAGGCACTGCTATTACCTGATGATGTCTTCAGTGTATTTAAGCAAGAGTGAAAAAGTGGTAGAGGCTAAAAGTGTAGGGAGCCTTTTCGTTTCAGCTACTAGCTGGCATATAAATAATAAAGCTGGTTTCAGTCATTACGTAAGGAGTTTCCTAGTGCCAGCTACCCTATTCCTTGTGAATACAGAGCACAGAAACTGCTTTACCTGAGCAACATACCAGTAGGAGTAGGCTGAAGACCAGCATGTTTGTTGCTCTGCTGGATCTTCATTTCAAGAAGAATTCAAACAGATTGCAGCTTGGCTGCTGGGTTGTGGTTTTTTCATGCTAGGCTTTGCTGTCTTCAGCTCTCACTTGTTAGAATATCTTGGAATTTCGTTGGGTAACAGAACTGGCACAAACTGCAGCTGCTTCAGGTTGTCTTTGTATTTACTAGATGATCTTGAGAGCTGCCTGGGCAGTGAGGAGTTTTATGCTTGATAATGAACTGAAGTCTGCAGAAATTATTTTAGATTTAGGCACTCATTTTATTGCACATTAGAGAGCTTGGATCTTTTACAGATGCCACATTTGCCCATTGCTTTCATCTTGGTTAAGGGTCTTTTTGGGGTGTTGAAAGGGAGGTGTCTTCCCAGACTGCCCAGCTCCCTTCCCTAGAAAGGAATATTCTAATGTGGTCATTTTCTCGTTCAGAACGGTGGCGAGTGTCTGCGTGCATACGTCTCGGTGGCGCTGGAGCAAATTGCACAATGGCATGATGAGCAAGGCCACAATGGACTGTGGTATGTGATGCAGGTGGTGAGCCAGCTTCTAGATCCAAGGACCTCAGAATTCACTGCTGCCTTTGTGGGCAGGCTGGTCTCCACTTTAATTTCAAAAGCAGGAAGTGAGCTGGGAGAGAATCTGGACCAGATCCTGAGAGCTATCCTGAGCAAAATGCAACAAGCGGAGACACTCAGTGTAATGCAGGTGAGCAGGCACCCAGGGGAATAAGCACAAGTGTCAGGAAAATAAATGGTTGCCTTTTTTTTCTTTTTTTTTTTTAATTGTGTGCCTGCTTATTTACGGCTACTGCATTTGGAAGTATTACATATCTTCTTGAAGTAGTCAGGAAAATGCCTGCTTTCCTCATGGAGTTGTCTGGGTTACAGGGTAAACCAGGTTCTTGGGGGTAAGCTTTAATACACCTTCAGTAGGCCCTCATGACTGTGTGCTTGCAAGCAGTGAACCTGCAAGACAAGAGCATCACTTCTAGCCTTGATCTGCTTCTAGTGGCACACTTATGGCATGATGTTATCCCAATGGTCTTCAGTCTTTCTTGTCTGTGCCCTTAATGTAAAACCTCTAGTGATGGTTGCCCTGGTTCCTCAGCAGCAGCGGGGGAACGCGTTTGCTGGCACTGTTGAGGACTTCTGCCTTATGGCAAGATCTCACCTTTGCCCTCGCAGAGGCTCTCTCTGCTATAACCTTTTTATCTTCTGTCTTTCTCTGATTTTTGTGTGTGCATTTTTCAAGCCAGCACATCGTGAATCAAGGAGGCCATTCAGATGTCACAACAGATTTAATTTTAAAAGCATTAATTTATTTGGTTGTTTTTTTTTTTTCCATCTCGGAAGCACTGTTGATTCTTAACTGTTCAGAATGGCTCTCACTGCCTATTTTTGGATTTAAAAGATCCGGAAGCTTAAATCTGAAGCAGTCACATGAAACCCTTGTAGCGAGAGGAAGAGAAACGAGCCTTTCACAATGCTGAATCTCTTCCCTATGTTAGACTGAAAGATGGACTTCTGGAGGTGGGCAGCTTTTCCCTGAGGCAGCTTACAGGGATGTTCTCAGACTTGGAAATATAGGCAACATATGAATTCTACTGGTCTTTAAGACTCAAACTATAAAACTGCATCTTGGGGCGGGGGGGGCGCTCCAAAACTGCACACATTTCTAAAATGTGCAGTTATTTCCCTAAAACTTGTCTTCAAAGTGCACTCAGAATTGGAAAAGTGATGCTGAATTATGATAGGACAATGTGGGGAATGGTACTTCTGTTGTGGAGGTGATGATGGAAAATCCCTGGGCTGAAATGGGAAGAGAATATGGGTTCTGGCTCTGGACCAGTAACTTCTGTTCCTTAGTTTGAGAATGAGGCACATTTCTAGTAGATATGTGTAGGCTTCGAGCTCTGTATACAGAACCATGGATACAGCCTCGGCGCTGCTGAGCAGACAAGGGCAGTTGCAGTGTCTGAGTGTTGCCATGTGATGTTTTTGCTTGTCAAAAGTCAACTGCAACCTCCAATATTTTTTTTTTAAATAGCTTCTGAATCTTTGCCTTAGGAAGGTTTGTTACTTTGAGGCATGGGTGTGATTAAACTTTCCTGCTGTATGTTTTGCTGAGGGCTAAATACTGCTGTTGACTGTAGTAGTTTAGTGCCTGTTTTTGTAGCACAGAGTATCTTGAAGAGGGTTATACTTTCTCTTCCTCTTGGGGTTGTTAAGCACAGTCTCTGCTCTTCAGAAAACTCGGTTACTTGAATATTTGATAAAACATTTTCAGCTAATTAATTATATACAGCTAACGTTTCCTTTCTCCTCCTGTAGTCCTTGATTATGGTGTTTGCTCACTTGGTTCACTCACAACTGGAACCACTCCTGGAGTTCCTGTGCAGTCTCCCTGGACCAACTGGCAAACCTGCCTTGGAGTTTGTAATGGCTGAATGGATGAGCCGGCAGCACTTGTTCTACGGTCAATATGAAGGCAAAGTCAGGTAGGATGTTTCTGTAAGCAGGATCCGTGCATTAACAATACCTGACTGATCATCCCATTGCAGTGGGTGTGAGGGAAGGGGGAGCTGGTTCACACTTGCATTAATTAGTGTGTGCCAGCATTGGACAAAATTAATTTCTTCCAGCACTGTCGGTTCAGCTCAGGAGAGCCGTGGTAATTGGAGCAATCTCTGATCTTCCTCTAAGTGCTTCTCCTGCTGCCTGGTGTTTCTGTGCTGAAACAGGGTGACCCAAGGGGGAAGGGAGTGTCTCTTCCAAGTGCAGGAGTGCTTTTGAGATTGAACCCCTCTGGATGGGACGAGAATAGCTTCCAGATATGAAATTGCCTTTATAGACTACTGCAGAGTTTCGGGGCATTGCTAAGAGTTTCCTAAGAGAATCTGATGGTTTCTTGTTGGTTTAATGGTCTCTTAAAA